GGGGAGAAAGACAGTCTGGCAACTTCTTGGGAAGCTGCTGGAGCACCACCACCTGCTGACCAGGGCCAGTGCAGGCAAGCTCTGAGCTCCACCACCCAACAGGTGAACATCTGTTTGGACCAATGGCACTCTAACTCATGGGCTGGATCCAGATGTGCAGGCATGTGCAGTTTGTGGCACCAGAAACTGCATGTGTTGCATATTAAACCATGCACAGAGCTGCTAATTTTCAGGAAATCATCCCGTTAGCAATAAAAAACCCTGAATAAAAAAGCAGCGCAAAGCATGCCAATGTGGTGTCAGTTGGGACAGAAGTGGAGATGGACAGAGCAGCTGGCTGAGGCACAGTGTGCCTCAAGAAGGGCTAGCAACCAACCCAAGGCTGCCTACACCCGTCTCCATGTGTCTCAGTGTGGGGGCTCCAGCCAACCTTATGCCGCAGCCAGTCCCCACTATAGCACATAGAAGAGCAGGACAGTGTGTCCCACTGCAATGTGCACAGGCAGGGGCTATTTGTGCTGCTGCAAATACGTGCCCCTGCTTGTGTAGGTGCTGTCATGATGCTTTCTGTAAAGCACCGTGAGTTAGAGCACCTCCCCAACAGGCTGCCTGCACTTGTGTACATGCCCATAGAATCATGGAAAAGTAGAGCTGGAAGTGACCTAAGCAGGTTATCTACTCCAGTCACTTACTTATGGCAGGATCATCCCAGACAAGTGCATATCTAACTTACTTTTAAATATCTCAAGACCTCACACATAGGGTGACCATATGTCCATTTTAGCTGGGACAGTCCCAGATTTCAGAGGCTGGTCCCAACTGACTGTTGAGAATTATAAATGAGCATGCTGGAAATGTAGGGGCATGGGGTGCAGTCTGGCTGGGACTTGGAGCAGTGCAGTGTGCCTTGTAGGCAGGCAGACAGGCACCGCTGCCTGCCCAGCATGCCTCTCCACCCAAGCCAACTTGTGAGAACACAAGGCGTGAAACTTTTGCTACCATCAAACTTAAATGTACTTTGCTTCAAATTGAACTGATTCCTTCTTGTCCCTTACCAACTGACCCTGAAGAACATTTGACAACTGTCCTCTCTATAACACCCTCTGTATCCTGGAAGACTTAATATGTATCCCCCTTAGTCTTTTCCTTTTAGACTAAACAAATGTTAACTTGCTTTCACATGTCATGTTTTCTAAGCTTCCTATCATTCTTGCTACTTTCTTCTGTATTATTTTCAATTCACCTGCTTCTTTCTTGAAGTGCAGTGGCCAAAGCTGGATGCAGTATTCCATATGGATCCTTACCAGAGCAGAGCCATTACCTGCTTTGTCTTACATGGGTTGCTTTGGCTAATATATCCCCAAATTATATTTGCCTTTTTTGCAACTGCAGCACATTGTCGATTTATGTTTCGTTTGTGATCCTCTATAACCCCCGGATTCTTTTCTGCTGGCATGGCATTATGGGTGCATAGTGTGCTAAAGAGACTGTCTTGCCCGAACACCAGCTTCTACATGTCAGTCCTGTAGTGGGTCTGCACTTGGGATCCTGCAGAAATCAGTATGGGTACAGGCAATATGGGGATGTTGAAAGTGACTGTATGCACGGTACATATGCTACCTGTGAGTCCACAACAGGCATAGTTCCAAGGGAAAAGCACCTCCCTTTGTGACAACAGATCACTAGTTGGACTTCCTGTAAATCTCAGGGCTCTGCATTAATTGCTTTGAGTATTAGAGGAAGTTATTAATGAAAGAGAATCAGAGCAGAGGCTTCTGTTTATAGAGGGAAAGGAAACAGTAGTGCTGGAATGTTTATTTAAACCTCCAGAAAGAATTGTTTGGCGACAGTACTTATCAGTGAATGATTTTCTGATAAATTCTGCACAAAAGCTTCATGTATGAAGGAAATAAGTAAAACTACATACTGCATTCATCTGTAAAAACAGAAGGGAATTGGCTGGGTGTGGGGGTAGGGTGGAAAGGGAAAAGGAGGTGGATTTCTATGCAGCATCAGCAACTGCTGTTTTTAAATTCTCAGAGGAATATCTGGGAAAAGAAGACTCCTGAGATGTCAAACTGTATAGCTTTGGGTGAAAGAGTGAGACAGACACAATATGGTAGATGCTACTAAATCAGAACTGGATATTACGTAAAATGACCTTCTTTGTAAGGGGTGGGAAGGCAGGTGGTAGAAAAGGACTTCTTAAGTATCCTTGCCATTGCCCTAACACCATTACTTTTAGTGGGGTTACAGCAAGGGTGAATTTGCTCCAAATATTTAATGTATTAAGTTTGGCAACACCTGTTTTCCTTGCTAGGCTAGGGGAATTGTCAGAATGGAATTCAAACCTTAAGTGATGAGTCCTGCAAAGGGAGGGAAAACCAGACAACCCACCTGTTTGGGATGTTTAGACAGGTAGGTCGGAAGATAATAGTCAGGTAATGAAGGCTGCTGTTGACACTGCGAACAATCATTAAAAGAGTGGAATTCAGTTTCACGCTTTGCATCTGTTCTAAAATAAATATTTTCACAAGGATGAGCTGATCCAGGAACAACTTCTTCAACAAACAAAAGCTCACAGAAGCTTGTCATACACTTCAACTTTTGGTTAAAACATCTGTTTCCACCTGTGATCTCTTCACGACTGTTTGTAAGCATCTTACAAACATTAACATGTTTATTCTTTCTTCACTCATTTATGCTAAAGAAGTATTATAGTCCTAGGGCTCTGAGATGATGCAATTGCCACATCCTCACAAAAAAAAAAAAAACTGTGGCAGAGATGGGTCTTTAATCACAATATTACCCCTTCTCTTGTTTTCTTTGAGGACCTAGTTTTAAACAGTAGCTTGATCACCCTTTTGTGCTGAAAAGTAAGCAAGTATACTATAGTGATACATATATCACGTGTTAGTGGAAATGGTAGTGTGTCCAACAGGGTGTAAGCAAACTGAGAGTAAAGGTAAGATGAGAGAAACATCCTACTGGGCAGCAGAATATGTAACACCCCAGTGCCTGTCTACCTATTTCAGCTAATATACCATATGAACTTTAGGGCAAAAACAAATGAAATGTGTACAAGAAAAATGTTTAAAGAGCTTCTTCCCCTTCCAAAGATAAATTCTTCCTTGGCTATTTAGCACATTTGCGAAACAAAACTTGAAACTCCTGTCTGAAGCCATAAAAATGTTTGCCCTGAGAAACTGGGAACATGAATTTTGAGCTATAGTTTCTAATTATGCTTATATCATTATTTTTTTAATTGTATTTCTCCAGGAAAAGTAGTCTTAACATGTTTAAAAATCCCAGGAACAAAAGAATCAAAGGTGGAAGAAGAAGCGGGTTAAATCATGAAAGCATTGGATAGAAGTTTCTGCAGGGAGAATTGTAAGTGTGCAACTTATCCCAGGCCTGTCATTCAGCACTAGTGCCTGGCACAGGACTGGAACCTCTGTAACGTTTTCCAAATATGTGAAGAAAAGTTTTAGAATGTTTTGGATCAACCACCCCCGTCTGGTATTTCACTCCTAGACTTCAGTGACAAAGCTGGGATGAATGAGTTGTTGTCTGGCCCTTCCCACTTTGTATACTCATTGGCTGGCTTGGTTCTAAAAGGGATTTTAAAAAGGAGAATAATTTGCCTTTGCCTGGGATTTGAGACTGTGAGAGTGCTGAAAGGCTCATCTCTCGGCTTCCCACGATGCAGATCTCTCGGGCTGCATGCTCTGTCTGTGTCCTGATCCAAATTGCCTTTCGCTTAGTGGAAGGATGGCAAGTTTTTAAGAACGATGCTACAGAAATCATCCCAGATCTCACTGAAAATACGGAAACACCGATGGAGCAGGCTTACAGCAACAATAACAACACAATGAACCAGGCAAAACATGGGGGAAGACACCCACAGCAGTCTCTGGACCCTAATGGTAAGAATAATGATGTTCTACTATTGTATTAAAACCTCACACACATACTTTATGTGGGGAGTTGTGTAAACAAGCATGAGTGTGTATTTTGATGAAGTATTACTGGGCATTGAGCTGACATTGTAGTTGAAGGGAATTCAAACTTGTGTTTAAGAAATGACATAGCAGACAATGGGATGGGCGATCAAAATTGGATAGCACAAATTATCTACTGGTGAAATAAGCTTGTTTGTTTAACACTCACATTTACTTAACTATCTATATTTACTTAACTATCTATATGACAAGTATATTTGTGATATATACTTATCACCTTATGTGGCCCTCTTCATGGTAGCATCTGAACATCTGCCCTGATAGAGAAGTTATAGTGGCTTTTTCAAAATTCTGGTTGAAATTTAGAATTATAAAATTATCAGAAGTAAGTATCTCTACATAATTTGGGTTCTATAGTTAGAGCTAGTGTAATGCTACACTGAATTGGTATAAACAAAAGATCTGGAGAAGTGATATTTTTGTCAGATAACACCAGCCAGTGATGTCACTGATTGATATGATTTACTATATTTGTCAGGCTACAAAGACCGTGAACATATATCTAGAGTAATCCTTCTTCCTTTGAAATTAGAAGGGGTAACTGGTTACGGAATACAGATGTGAATAAAAGCTGTTAACTACATAGCAAAAAACATGACAGTGATGCTTTTTAGCTCAGAGCCAATTTGATGAATGGAGACTGCACTGAGGAGGAATGTGCTGCTCTTTATATCCCTTGGACTTCAGTGGCCAGCAGAAGCTGGTTTTTAGCAGTTTTTAAGGTATCATGGAGAGAATCTATATCCAAATATATCAGTGCTTATTTTCAGGGTAGATCTCTGTTTGGTAGGATTGTCACTTTAAAGACACTGTTTGCACCTTAGATGCAACCAACAGCATCAAGAGACACCCCTGAAGAATCACAGTAACATCCTACTAGTTATCTGACAACACCAGGGCCTCAACACACCAATGCCTAGAGTTGCTGGGGTGTAGTTTGGGAAGTCACCATAAGCAGCACGAAGGGAAAAAGCAGTTTGAAAGTAAATGCCATACTGGTAAAAGTTATTGGATAGACCCCTACAGACTGGAACGCATTTCATCTCAAAGGAGAAATAGCACCAAGGCAGATTACCCACAGACTGCCCTAGCTAATGTGCCTGACACCCTAACTTGGAATATTTAGAGACAGGTAGGGCATTTAGCCTCTTTGCTGTGGCCACCAATGAACAGACTAGCCAGTACCAGAAGTGCAAATGGGAATATTTACTGGTTGGTGAACTGGGTTGAGATTTCCCCCAAAATCATTTCATATGTGGGACCAAAAAACAACACCCTTAAAAATGCAAGCAACATTTCTGAGGAAGTCAAAACTTCACACCTTCCCTCCAGCCCCTCCCTACTACTTTTGCACACCAACCTAGCATTGGTTGCTCTCCTAATAAGAGGTCCTTCAGTCTTCTAGCCTCTGACGGGCCAAACATCTTCAAAGGAGGAGCTGGTGGGAGGAAGGTATTAATTTTGAGAAGATCTCAGCATCCAGGAGTTTTACAATCTTCTTCCCTGCTGCCCTTGGGTAGGAAACTCCTATTTATTCAGCTCACTAGTGATCCCAAAGAAGTATCTGGGGTCCAGTCAAGGTGTGCCATGCTCTTATGCCAGTGTATCAGTGTCCTTAATTGGAAGAATCAAAACTAAAGTCTAACAGGTGTTGCCCTCACCTGGAGAATGTGAACCCATCTGTGGCAGCATGTAATAACACATATCTCTACAGAAACAGCACACAGTGGGTGCATCTACACATGTGCTTTAATGTGAAGTAGACTATTTTACTGTGCTTTAAAGCATCACATAAAAAACCATGACGTTACGCTAATGCGCAATAAAAGTTTACTGCACACTGTGTCATGAAAAAGCATTCAATTACACTACTGAACATTAGCACAACCTAATATGCATTAATTTAGTATCTCACATCAGAGGTACTAAATTTAATGTGCATTAAAAGAGGTGTATTAGTGCAAATGTAGACACGCCCAGTGAGGCATATTCTGTGAATTCTGAACATAGCAGTATGTGCCCAGGCACTGTGATGGCAAAAGAGACCAGTGTCAGAACTATTAACATTTACAAATTCAAAGTGTAGTTTCTTAAATGCTCAGAAAGTACATGAGTGTAAAAAGGCTGATTAACCTGTGTGACTAAATCCATACAGTCTTGATATCACATGATAGCCCCAAGACTATACCAATTCTCATTTAATCTGGTTAATGCAGCCTTTAGAATGTCTAAAATAGGAAGGCCAAAGTCCATAGTTACATGAATATAAAACCAACTGCAATACTTCTCTGGGTGTTTAAAGGACCAGGGCCCATATCTGAATGAAGAGGTATATATCCAAAAACCCAATCCTTCTTGGGTAAAAAAAATGTTGGCGGAACAGAAAATCCTTCAAAGTTCATTGATAGAAACACGCCTAAATAATATTTAGCACCCTGTCAAGTTAAGACTTCAGGCAGTCAGTTAAAGCTCTCCTTTGATGTTCTTGCCAGGGAAGTACCTTCTCACAGCAGGGAGAATGTGGACAGCACAGAAGCTGACCTTTCTCTAAAAGTCCAGTTTTGTATCTTTCCAACATATTTACATTCTTACGGAAAAAAAAATGTTTTTGGCTATATTTATTTTGCTTAAAAGAAAGGAATAAAATATGCTTATATAGAAGAAGCTCAAGGTCTTACTTGCTAACTAGTCTTTCAAATCAATTTCTATATATTTCAGACATATCTGCTAGCTAAGGACATAGCTTTGCAAATGCAGAAAGAACCCTTCTGGGAGGCTGTGCTCTTCCAGCTTTTGATGACAATTAATGTTTGGATGCATTTATTTTACTAGAAAGTACTGTGGCCCATTCATGAACGCCGTGTGCACCTGGAGGCTGGGAGGGTATGGTGAGCTCCTGCAGGTGGTGGCGGTGCTGTCGGAGGCGGGAGCATGGCAGCAGCAAGTGGGGAGCTCCCGCAGGTGGCGGGAGAGGCAGGCGTGGGCATGGCGAGCACCAACTGGCAGTTGGCAACCACTTACAGACACTGCTGGCAGCGGTGGCAGCAGCCAGTGGCGACTGCAGACTGCCCACAGATGCCACTGGCAATGTTGGCAGCAAGGGTGGGGGGTGGCAAACGGTGACTACCCACAGGTGCCGCTGGCAGTGTCAATGGCACCTTTTCACAGGGGGTGCACATGCACCTGTGTGCACCCCCTACGCGTCGCCAGTGGGCCCGTGAAAGGAAAGCTTTCCTAAATATTTAGAACTAAAATCTCAAGATATCTACGATTTCATTTTGCTCTGGCTTTTCATTAAGGCAAAAGCAAAAATCCAGCAAGATTTATAATTAGAAAGAAAATGCAGCTGTGTGTCTGAAGAAAATGATGTGGGTGTGCAGAAAAAAAGAGACCTAAAATACCAAATGATTGGTGAGTTGGTAGGTTCCATGAGAGGTAGGAACTCTTTAGTAACTGTTGCTATCTCCTGGAATTTCCCTGATGTTTGGGGCATCTACCAACCCTCTGCTGTCCCTTTGCACTGCCCCTGACTCAGGGATATACCAAGAGGCAGAAGGGGGCTTGTCAGGTGCTCTGGATTCCTGCTAATCTGGGCTAATGAAGCAGCACGCAGATGAGTATTTGAGAGTGCATACTTAAGAGTAGCCTCTGAAAGGACCTAAAATTCAGACAGTGCAAAGCTGGCTTTAGATACCCCACTGTTTTGCTATCCCTCCTGAGTTCTACTACTCAGGGGCTGCATCTACATGAGATGCTGACTGTGCTGTTGTTTCTGTGCAGTCATTTAATACTTGTATAAACAAATACTTGTATAACTGGAGTTACTGCGCAGTAGCATTGCCGAATGGCTTTTAGATGATCTTGCCTGCACTGGAGCTCATTACTACAGTGCTGTAGCTTCGCATCACACCTCCTGCCATGCAGTCAGCGTCTTGTGTAAACGTGGCCAGGGGGCATGTCTACATGTGCATTAATGCACCGTTGTTACCATGCATTAAGTTTAGTACCTGTAATAACAGGTACTAACTCAATGTGCTGTAACTGGCACTACTAAGCAGTAGTGCCAGCACACGGTCTTTTAGTGACACTAATGCACAGTAAATTAATTCTACTGTGCATTAGCATGGCTTTCGCTGTGACATGCTAATGTGCAGTAAAATTCTTCTACTGCGCATTTAGTGTCGTGAGTAGATGCACCCAGGAGGCATACCTCAGAATCAGAGGATGTCTATATTGTATGATAGCATCTTTAAATTAACTTGTTTGAGTTTTTATGACAGTGTTGCCATACCTCAGGCTGAAAAACACACCGGAGCAAGGGTAAATGCTCAAGTAGCTAGCCTGTGCTTAGCTCTCTGATGCTGTGGAAACTTTGTAACCCTACTCTTACTAAGCAGGTTTCTAGCCTGCTCAGGTACATCTACGTAAGTGGCAGCCACGCAGTGAAGTGCTGTGCAAATGTATGACAGTTCCTAAGAAACTGCAGAAAATTTAAGACCTGAAAATTTGACTTAAAATACCTGGATGCAACAAGCAGAGCAACTCCACTGATTCCAAGAGGGGTCTATGAAAGCTAACTCCAATGGTTTCTTTCTAGCCTCTCTAATTTTCCATGTAGTAATGGATGTGTCTTTTTCCTATGCTGCCCTGCAGGTCTTAGTCTCTCATTTATACAGAAACTGAACTACAAAAAAAATCTCAAATCATTCTAGGGTACTTGGACTCAGAGTTTGGTTTAGAGCTATTTTGGATTGATCAGTTTCTGTCTGATGCCATCACTTTTGATATAGTTTTTAGAGGAGTAGATGCTCCCTACTAGCTGTTCTCTTTCTTGTTGTGTAGCTTACTAGAGTAGAGGGGAGCATTCCACATGACCCTTATCAACTTTACCTATCTGGTGTGTTTTATTACTATTCTAGATGTAAAAGTGCTGGCTGAGGTACAGTGAGCAGTTGCCTTGTCAGGATAAGTATGAAGGGATGGAAAAGAAAATAACCTAATAACTGGTTTATTTCTTCTTTGCAGATGCCTCAGATTTTAGCTGCAGAGAGCTGCGCATCACCCATCATGTCACTGATGGGGCTTGCCGCAGCATCAAACCCATCAAGGAACTAGTCTGCTCAGGCCAGTGTGTCCCCTCCCACCTCCTCCCTAACTCCATTGGTAGAGGAAAATGGTGGCGCCAGAATGCTTTGGATTACCGCTGCATTCCTGCACACACTCGCACTCAGCGCATCCAGCTGACCTGTCCCGGGGAAGAGACTCGGACTTACAAATTCCGAGCTGTCACCGCATGCAAATGTAAACGCTACACTCGCTACCACAACCAATCTGAGCTCAAGGACTTTGGGAAGGAAACCGTCAGGCCTCAGAAGAACAAGAAGCCTCGTCTCTCCCGAGCCAGGAGTAGCAAATCCAACCAACCTGAGCTAGAAAATGCGTATTAGAAGGCCCTCTCTAAGATATACAGCCCAGCAGCTCTGGATAGTTTGTATGACACCACATGTCACAGACAGACAGGCCAGAATGAGGTACTGACTGCAGTGGAATCCAGTTCCTCCTGCAACGTTGGGTCAAGGGCTCACTTAGATTCTAACAGCCATGGTCTGATGACAGAATTAAGATAAATTGAGCTGGTCGTAGCAGCACCTACATTCAGTCTGAGAGTAGAGTTACTCTTGGAATTTGCATGGGGTGGTGTGGTTTGTTCATTGAGAAAGGCAGAGGAAAGCAAAGATAACATGATGTCTGTAGCATGTGTTACACTTTGTGAGAGGTCATTATCTCCACTTTATGTGAGCAAAGCATCAAAAGACATTTAAACTATTTCAGGCACTGTCATGCAGGGCAAGAAGACTAGGGAAGCAAAAGGTGCAGAGTCAACACTCCTTGACACAGTTTTAGGAAGTAGCAATAGTAAGCTAAGTAAATGAAATATTTAGTGAAATAGTCAAGCTTTGAGAAATCCCAATAGATTTCTTTGTCTCCAATCATCTCTTTAAGCCTGAGAGATGGAACATGAAACTTGTGATCCCAACTCCAATCCACGGAACATGACTGCAATCCATTTAATACTTCTATTATTAGACTACAGCAGAGTCAATTGATTCAAGGTTGAGATCTGATATCACCAGCTAGGTTTTAGGAACAATCAAACCAATTCTGCTAGGAAAGAGCAGGGCGGTGGAGGTAACCCAGCAAAGACTCCTGCCAACCCAAATAATTCTATGGTATTTGTCCTCTAAACAGATACATATAGTGATGCATATTTTTGTACAGTTTTTTTCAAACTACTTGTGCCACAGGTGAGTAAGTTAGAGTGAGGTCCAAAGGGAAGAAAACTGTAAACAATTTTCCTTACTCCCCTTCAGAGCAACCAGAGTTAAACATCAAAGCTGAGATGTCAATGTATGTCCTTTTTTCTGCAAAGTATTGATCCTCTAGACATACTCTGTGTGATGAGACTGGGTATGGCAGGGCCTGAGGAAAAAGTACTGGTTCCCCATTGGAGTGATCTTTCACTAATTTTAAAGCCAGTGAATTCCTTCTGAGAAGTCTATAGTATACTCAGTTTAGTTTGATAGTGTCTTTCCTTTAAATAGCTTCACATCTTTCATACATGTTTGTGTTTTTACATTACAGAGCATTATTGGAAAGGTAATATTCATGTGCTGTACATATGCTATAGAATTACAGACCACAGTATTACATAATTCAAAATCTGGGTGGAAAACTGTTCCTCATTGTTCTTCTTTTCTGTGTAGAATTTATGCTAAAATCATATAAGATGTGACGTTTTGCAGCATTGGTAGATTTTGCAATTATTTTAAATGGGACCAGAATCTGAAAAGAAAAGCTATCGTTTCGAAGAATAAATTACATATTTATTTTCTCACATAAATTATTTATGCAAACTTGTTTTTCTTGTAGAGAATGAGTAATACTACTTATTAAATATTAATCTGTTATTTCAGATTTTAAATATATTGTTAATAAAGTAGTGATAATGAATAATTACAAGAAAGACTTATGTTGTTTTTTTAAAAGACAGTACGAGGCTGGCCTGCTGCAAAGTCACCAAGACCAGCTACTGGATCCAATACCTGTGTGAAGTTTGTTATAAAAAATAATCAAAAACAAAAAACAGTAGCAGCACATCTGAATCTAAGAAACAAATTCTTCAGTTCCAACTGTGCCATTGGCTTGAAAACTGTTCCTATTATTGAACATTCCTGTGAATCACAGCATAGTTTTGGGTCTGGTTTTACCCAATGGATGCATCTATGCAAGATGTTTACTATGGAGTTGCGTAGTTAGCTCCACAGTAAAACATCAGTGTTTACTTGTGCAGAACTATTTGGCTGGAGTAAATTAATTAACAACGCCATAGGATAGTACTGCCAAATATAAGTACTATCCTGTGGAGGAGTACATAACTCCACCACAATGCTTGTGTAGATGGGGACCAAGCTGGTTGCAACATGAAGGTACTACAGTGCAGGGGCTACCTGACAACTAGCCCTGCATCGTAGCACTCTTGTGTCCTAGCTGACACTGAGCCAGGCAGAGCAGCCCTGGGCTGGCAGGTTGATCCCCGGACCCTTGCCAGCCAGGGCTGCACCACCCCTGTTCAACGTGCTGTGGTCCCAAGTGCACATGAAGACAGTGCGCCCAGGAGCACTAAACTCCAGCACAAATTGTGTCAGAGTTTATTCAGGTACCTTAATATCATGTGTAGATACAATTAATGAGCTACTATTCTCTGCTGTAGGGCATCGGGTCCTGAATTGAGACAGGGCTCTAGGGGAAACCAGTGTTTAAGCCGCCATATTTAGTGTACCACACCCACTCTGGAGAAGCATGGTCTGACCAGCGAAGGAGTTCACTGATGTTTCAATCTATTTTTGTTCTTCTCTAAACCCCCCCCCAACTAAACAGGTTCAGCAGAATTCAGTCTTACTCCCACTGAATGGTACTTCCTGATTCAGCCATTCACTAGCTGACAAAGCCACCAAAGAAAGCCCATCCAGGAGAGCGCAAAACAACTGTAGATGCTCCCTCTGCCTGACGAAGGGTGTTTGTGCCCAAAAGCTTGCAAAGAAGAATTTTTTCAACTATTTTGGTCGGTCTAATAACAGATACAGGTTTCCCTCACTTTACACGTTCCTGGAAAATGGCACATAACTCAAATTCACATAAAGGGAACCCACTTTACAATGTAACAAATAGGGATACATTCCAAGGTACTAACCCCTAGATTCACTTCTACCACTTCTACAAAACAATTTTGGTACTCACCAACAGCAGACAGTACACACAAGGACGGGGATGTGGTAAATGTTTAGTGGCAACTACAGAAACGTGTTGCAGACAACAAGCGAGAAGCGCAGATCCACACAGGGGACTATATTTTGGTGTGTGTCACTCCCACAATGCACCGCACAAAGCAGCTTACTGTAGGCTTTCACCACACCGATTGCATAACAGTGAATTTACCTTGCATATGATGAATTTTTGGTATAATTTTGGCATACGAGCAAATTTGCAGATACAGAACCCGCATAAAGTCAGGGAAGCTTGTACCAGATTTACCCAAAGAACCAAATTGGACTGGGTCTGGCTGGGGGTAACAAAAATGGTTAGGGAGCTTGAGCATGTGACTGATGAGTAGCAGCTGAGGGAACTGGGCTTATTTAGTCTGGAGAAGAGAAGACTGAGTGGGGATTTCATAAGCAGCCTTCAACTACCTGAAAGGTGGTTACAAAGAGGATGGAGCTGGACTGTTCACAGTGGTGGCAGATAACAGAACAAAAAGCAATGGTCTCAAGTTGCTGCAAGGGAAGTTTAGGTTAGATATTTGGGAAAACCTTACTCACTAGGAGGGTAGTAAAGCATTGGAGCAGGTTACCCAGAGAAACTGTGGAATCTCCTTCCCTGGAGGTTTTTAAGACATGGCTAGACAAAGCAGTGGCTGGGATGATATAGTTGGGGATGCTTCTGCTTCGAGCAAGGGTTTGGACTCACTACATTACCCTGTGAGGTCCCTCCCAACCCTAATTTTCTATGATTCTATGATTCTCCGCACAAGTAACTAACCAAGCAGAAGTTGAACTTCTAACATGTTTAGAAGTAGCAGACTGATGTCCACCCTCAGAGAGCCAAGTCAGCTTCCTTAATGAATATGGGAGTGTTACCCAAAGGAGGGTGGGACTGGGCCCAGAATGCATGCTACGTGCACCTCTTTTGCTACACATTCAATTCAGTAGTAAAGATGAGCAGGTCTTCTGATATAGCCAGCAGAGAAAGCATTTTTACATGAAAGCCCAGTGAATAGTGCTCTGTACTTGGTATGAAAATTGAACACAGATTTTGCTGGACACTTGAGGCAAATTTTTCAGAGGTCATCTGTGATTTTGGTCACTTCATTTCTTCAGTGGCAAATCTAAGACACTAAGTTGTAGGGATGAGCATTTGCAACTTACAGTGAAGTCAGTTTGAGCTGTATGCGTCCAGCATGTCCAAAAATCCGGCTTCAGTATCTCAAAACTGGACACACAGCCTCAGAGACATTTAGAATTAGTGATCATTTTTTAAAGCACTGGCCTTCATAGTGACTTGCCTCCCACTGTCTAGTGTGATACTTCTAAAACATCAGGCCTGGTTCAAAATGTGGGATATACAGCTTAAGGTCTGGGACCATACAAAAGTTGTGCTCATGGGCCTGCCTCTCAGGCTTCTTCCATCTTTGAGGCTTTTCCTTTCATCACATCTTCCACCCTGATCTCCTTTGAGATGCCTCCCCCAAGACAACCTGTACCTGAGCACTTATTCAGTATCTTGAAATTGTCCGAGTGAAGATATTAGCACCACATTACAGCCTGGGCTAAATTCCTTTTCACCTTCAGCTGCCTAAATGGGTAAGTGCAGTTCTTTGCTCTTACACACAGTTAAGAGCCTATCTGCACCTATGTAGTTACATGGGTCTGGTTCTTCTTTTCTGAGCATGTTCAGAAGGCAGAACCACAGTTACATAGTCTCAAAAGTTTAGTGAGAAAAAAACTGTCAGCAAGAGTTGAGGTGGTGGGGAAGGAGGGTGCTGGTGACAGAGTGTGGGCACAAGGAAAACAAGCCGACTTAAGGGAAAGCTGCTCAGCTAGATGGATGCTGGCCTAAAGACCAATGGACCCTGGCTTCTGCCCTTTAAAGCTTTTTTGCATCTTGGATTTTTCATTGATACAAACTTTAACCATTTGAAATTGTTTATTGGCTAGACAGCAGTGGGATAGTTTCTAGCCACTTAGGACTAGGGTCTGGTCCCAGAATCCAAGGCCCCTATCCAATTCAGGAAGCATTGATGTCACTATGCTACTGTCCCTCCTACTTGCTTGCCTCTTCTTGGCACCACACATTTTTCCCTCTTGGCTGTTCAGTGGGCCAGCTTCAAGAGGAGCCCAATAGAGTACTGTGGGCAATGCCTAGTCTATAGTCTGTTGGTTAGAGTTGGCCTTCTTTACTGGGAAGTAAGAGATTCAAGTTCAAGCCATCTCTGGGTACCAGGCATAAAATCTGGGTCTCCTGGTCCCTGGGCAAGTGGTCTAATCACTAGACTATTGGGTTAAAAAGTGGGGTGGCCCACCTCTTCTGTTTCACTTCCAGCAGGTACTTGGGTGATCCTATTCTGTCACAAGTGGAAACTGCATGTTAGGGCTAAAAATTGCCGTTGTGCAGGT